TATTTTGCTTTTGTTGCAAATTATTTAGAAAAGATGGAAACAAGAATCAAATGGGTTCTTTGGTTAATGAAGGATTTAAAAATTGGAAGAATCTTAGTCATAGACTTCAAAGTCATGAAGGGAGTAGTGAGCACATAAGTTGCATGAGAAGTTGGATTGAATTGGAAATGAGATTGCCTAGTATTGAAACAATTGATAAAAGTCTGCAAGAAATATTAAATAAAGAGAGAGAACATTGGAGACAAGTATTATTAAGAATAGTTGTTGTTGTAAAAATACTTGCTAAAATGGTTTAGCATTTCGTGGGGATAATGAGAAGATTTATCAAGAGAACAATAAAAATTTTAAGTTTAATTGAAATGATTGTCGAATTTGATCCGGTAATAAAAGAGCATATCCGACGTTATCAAAGTGGTGAATCTCATAAGCATTATCTCAGTCATAAAATTCAAAATGAACTGATAGGAATGTTAGCGGGAGAGATCAAACATACAATGATCAAAATAATCAAAGAAGCAAAATATTTTGCTGTTATACTAGATTGTACTCCAGATATAAGCCATGAAGAACAAATGACTCTTATAATAAGATGTGTAGATGTTTGAGAAAGTCCAGTAAAGGTAGAAGAGTTCTTTCTAGAATTTCTTAAGGTCGATGACACGTCAGGACTAAGACTTTTTAGCGAACTTGAAGATGTATTGAAGATTCTGGAACTTGACATTTCTAATGTAAGAGGACACAGATATGACAATGGATCTAATATGAAAGGAAAAAAATAAAGGTGTGCAGAAAAGACTCCTCGAAGTAAATCCTTGAGCATTCTATACTCCATGTGGTTACCATAGTCTTAACCTCGCACTTTGCGATATGGCAAACTCTTGTCCAAAAGCTATATCTTTTTTTGGAGTGATACAATGTTTATATACTTTGTTTTCATCTTCTACTAAGCGGTAGGATATTTTCAAAGAACATGTTTCTGGTCTCACACTTAAGCCATTGTCACAAACACGGTGGGAAAGTCATGTTGAAAGTGTAAGAGCAGTAAGATTTCAAGCTACAGAAATAAGAGATGCTTTAATTCACTTGGCAAGTAACGATGGAGATCCAAAAATAAAGAGTGAACCTGAGTCCTTAGCAACAAATAAAATGGAGAATTTTGAGTTATTATTGGGTATGATTGTTTGACACAATTTATTATTTACTGTTAATTCTCTTATCAAATTTTTGCAAAAGGAAGACATGCAAATTTATATTGCTATAGATCAATAGAATGTGCTTATATTATTTTTTAAAAACTACAGAGAAAACGTGTTTAAGGAGGCCATTACTGAAGCTAAAAAGGTTGCATCTTAAATGGAAATTGAAGATGTATTTCGTGAAAAGCGTATCATTCGCAGGAAGAGGCAATTTTGATGAAAGTGTTATCGAAGAGACAATGTTATCTCCTGAAGAATCATTTAGAGTTAAATACTTTCTATATATAGTGGATCAAGCTATTTCTTCTCTTAAAGAATCATTTAGAGTTAAATACTTTCTATATATAGTGGATCAAGCTATTTCTTCTCTTAAGAGTAGGTTTGAACAATTTCGAATACTTTCTATATATAGTGGATCAAGCTATTTCTTCTCTTAAGAGTAGGTTTGAACAATTTCGGCATTGTGAAGAAGTCTTTGGGTTTTTATTTGATTTGAAGAAATTCAGCATTGTTGATGATGCTAGTTTGAAGGCTTATTGTCCAAAACTTGAAGAATTTTTAAAGCATGACAGTCATTTTGATATTGATGGTAAAGATTTATTTTTAGAGCTAAAACTTTTGAGAGAATACTTACCAAAAGAAACAAAAAAAAAAGCAATTGACGTGCTGAATTATTTGAAAAAATTGGATGGTACTTTTCCGAATGCTTAGATTGCTTACAGAATATTGTTGACCATGCATGTTACTGCTACCCTGTAGAAAGAAGCTTTTCAAAGTTAAAATTGATCAAATCTTATCTTCGATCAACTATGTCACAAGAAAGATTGAATGGCTTAGCTATATTGTCAATTGAGAAAAATATAGTGGAGAAGCTTGATTATACAAGTTTAATTAATGATTTTGCATCTAAAAATGCAAGAAGATGCGTCATAAAGTGATACTTCTATTGGTTCATTGATCTTGTTTTGGGAATGAGAGTGTTAGGGTGTGATTTGTAGGCCTTTGGCCAGGGTGGACAGCTTAGGAGAACTACATTGTGTTTGATCCTTGGAGTTAGTTATAGCATTCCTTGGCCGGTCCTAAAGTTACTTGGGTGCAACATTTTATTTAAAAAAAATCTTGAATATAGGAGGGCCCCTTTAAGATTTTTGTTCAAGTTTTTGCCTAGGGCCCTCGAATGCTCAGGACCAGCCCTGGCTCCACCGGTCGTGGATGTAGCGACAACGTGTCTTGCCCATGGTGTGTGCTTCTGTAGTTGTAGTTGATTGGTTTAGTTTGCAAATTGTGTTTATAATTGTACTGTACATGTTTATTTTGGCAGCATAATAGTTTCTAGGCGGGAGAGTGGCGACAATCTACGGCGATGAGGACAGGCGGAGGAGGGGAGGGGAAGCGGTGAAGAACTCGAGGGGAGCCTTGGGGGCCTGAGCAGAGGCGGCGACGGCGAGGAGGGCCAGGGCCAAGACGACGAGCTTAAGAAAACTCTTAGTTTTAGAGAGAGAGAGAGAGAGAGAGAGAGAGAGAGAGAGAGAGAGAGAGAGAGAGAGAGAGAGAGAGGAGATGAGTGTTGGGTCTGAGGGATTGAGGAGAGAGGATAAGGATAATTTGGGGATTTTAGCTTAGCTGGCTTATAATAATTACTAAAAAAGGGCTACAGCACGAAGTGTCACACTACTAGGGCCGGATTCACATGGGGGAAACTATGAGGGGTCTCGTCACATAAAGTTTCTGCTTTTGGGGCCTGGACACATTTTCCCCTTTATTCTTATTAATCTTTAATTATTTTTAGCTAATAATTAATATTAATCAATAACTAAATAAAAAATAAAAAATGGGAATATAAAAATTAATAGGGGTAAAATAGTCATTCAAAAGTTTTAACATCTATATTCTCTTTTATAATATTCTCTTTTATAAGTAGTATAGATATAGATTCTCAAAAAAAAAGACAGATAGATATAATTTTGGACATACTTTCCTCTTTTCTTTTTACAAGTTTACTCACATTTTTGTGATTTTTTCCAAATGTGTGAACATTTCTTTTGATTTTATTGAATATCAGGGCATTTCTGTAGATTTGTTTTTTAAATGTGAGAGCATTTTGTAATAAATTTTTAGATGTAAGGACTTTTTGGAATTTTGAGAATGGGGCTCGCAATGACCAAAAGGAGACTTATCTTATGATCTAGTACATAGCCATCAAGCCCAGTTGTTGATCGTTCATGTCGGAGGCCCAATTATCCCTTATTATAATTTTTTATAGTTCTTGTTTTTGCAGATTTTTGTCGTGAGGACATTTTCGTCCACAAAAATACAGGTAGGCCTCGTCACATGAAGTTTCTGTTTTTGGGGCCTGGACATATTTTTCCCTTTATTCTTATTGATCTTTAATTATTTTAGCTAATAATTAATATTAATTAATAACAAAATAAAAAAAATAAAATATTGGAATATAAAAATTAATAGGGGTAATAGTCATTCAAAAGTTTTAACATTTATATTCTCTTTTATAAGTAGAATAGATATAGATTCTCAAAAAAAAGACAGATAGATATAATTTTGGACATACTTCCATCTTTTCTTTTTCCAAGTTTACTCACATTTTTGTGATTTTTTCCAAGTGTGTGGACATTTCTTTTGATTTTATTGAATATCAGGGCATTTCTGTAGATTTGTTTTTTAAATGTGAGAGCATTTTGTAATAAATTTTTAGATGTAAGGACTTTTTTGGAATTTTGAGAATGGGGCTCGCAATGACCAAAATGAGACTTTTCTTATGATCTAGTACATAGCCATCAAGCCCAGTTGTTGATCGTTCATGTCGGAGGCCCAATTATCCCTTATTATAATTTTTTATAGTTCTTGTTTTTGTAGATTTTTGTCGTGAGGACATTTTCGTCCACAAAAATACAGGTAGGCCTCGTCACATGAAGTTTTCGTTTTTGGGGCCTGGACACATTTTACCCTTTATTTTTATCGATCTTTAATTATTTTTAGCTAGTAATTAATATTAATTAATAACTAAATAAAAAAAATAAAAAATAGTAATATAAAAATTAATAGGGGTAAAATAGTCATTAAAAAGTTTTAACATTTATATTCTCTTTTATAAGTAGTATAGATAAAGATTCTCAAAAAAAAAAAACAGATAGATATAATTTTGGACATACTTTCATCTTTTCTTTTTCCAAGTTTACTCATATTTTTGTGATTTTTTTTCCAAGTGTGTGGACATTTCTTTTGATTTTATTGAATATCAGGGCATTTCTGTAGATTTGTTTTTTAAATGTGAGAGCATTTTGTAATAAATTTTAGATGTAAGGACTTTTTTGGAATTTTGAGAATGGGGCTCGCAATGACCAAAAAGAGACGTTTCTTATGATCTAGTACATAGCCATCAAGCCCAGTTGTTAATCGTTCATGTCAGAGGCCCAATTATCCCTTATTATAATTTTTTATAGTTCTTGTTTTTGCAGATTTTTATCGTGAGGACATTTTCGTCCAAAAAAATACAGGTAGGACACCGGTGTGTCAGTAAGTGAAAAAACTAAAACGTTTCGGGGTTTTGTGAAAAACTTCAGAGATTAGGTCAATTGATATAGTGAGTATTGACGTATATTAGTACATACAGGTTAGGGGGTTATCCCAAATGGTTCAAAATTTCCGGGCTCTGTAAAATTTACCCATATTTGGCAACACGAGGCCCGCATGCACGGATCAAAACCCGACCGACCCACAAGACAAGCCCAATATTTCTCCTTGTCAGGTCGGATCTCACCTACATAAGTGAAGAATCCGATCCGTTGTCCTCTGAGGCAACGATTGGCCAACATATTAGTACTTTGTTTGATTTTTGTTTATTTATTTTTTTTCCTCTCCAGTTTGTAAGGTCGTTAACACCTCGCTTTGTTGGCCTCTCAAGACTTCCAGCTATCAACACCAAATTGGGTTGTGTAATTCTATAAGCTTGGGCCAACGCCATCACCAACAAACCCAGTAATTGCTTCAGGTGATTTTTCTTGCCCAATTGCTTCTGCGTTTAATTTTCATTTTTTTCCCTTTCTTAGGTTGTTTGAAATAGCTTGGATGCAAGTTTCGTAGTTTTTGAGATTAAAATGTGAAACCAATTATGGAATAGTTTTATAACATGTGGGCCAGTGGAGAGATTTGGGGAAGAGGAATTGAGATGTACCTTTAGAAATTAGTTGAGATTAGGTTTTTGTAAAATCTAGTAATGCTGAAGGGTTTCTCCCTTGTTTTGCCTATGGATGTGAACTGTCACCACTCTATTGGTTGTTGCTGTCAAAAAAATTTAACTTATTAGTATGTATATAAATCCGAAAATAAATTGAACAGAAAACAGGCCTGATTCAGGTAGCAGTCACGCAAAGCACTGCCCTAAAAAGATTGAGGACCCGTCTATCGCCCTGGCGCATATAATCCTCTCTCCCTAGCGGTAAAAGCCCCCGGAAACTGCTGGTCTCTGTACTCGGGTGAGAGTATAGAGCTTCATGAGAACTTTGGTTCTTGAGGAGACAGAAGAGAGAACTTGTTTAGAGGAGGTACTTATAGGGTTTTAACTTCCCATTTGTAAATCCACGTTTGCTAAAACTGCGCACCCGTTTGAACTTCCCACAAAACTCTACTCACGTTCTCCAAACGTGCGCACGTTCTAGCCGTTGCTATTGCAAGTCAAAAGAGACGTGTAAAAATAAAAATTGAAAAACATCAAAACCGAAAAATGGCGACGCGAGCGGGCGTACACCAAATTTGGTGGCCGAAAAATGGTGCACGCACAACAATTTGGCCACTTTGGCTTGATTGGTCGCTTGATCTCCTTTTGTGATGCATATCATTACTCTTCTGCTTACATTAGGTATATGAAAGAAGTTCCACCTTCTTTACGACGATCTATCACCAGTTTTGTGTTATGTTAAGCACCATGGATGAGGATGCATTTTGTACCAGTTTGACCAAATGCAATGCTTAGACATAACAAATTCTAAAAGATACATACAGAACAACAATGACGGGGCAGAAGTGGGATGAGAAATATCTATTCGGCGCGACAAAACTTCAGAACGCATGTGCTCGATTATCTCTGAGTCTTAAACCACAAAATTGCCTCTCATGATAAGCATACTGCGTGAAGTTCCTGAGAAAAGCAATAGAAGAATAATGAAAGGCAGATATAGGAATTAGGAACCTTTTAATGTCGTGATTCAGTAAGCTCAATTTTGTTTGTGGTAGTTGCAACTTATGGGATGATATCCAGGAATCAGTTATGTTCTATTTATTTTCATAATGAATCTATCTTCTATCGCAAAGACATCATTCAATATGTTGATAGAGGATGGTTAGTTTTTTTTACTGGAGAATGTAAGGTGTACTCACTGCAAGGAATTCTAGTCATGAATGCCCTGTATTATTGATCGTGGTTGAGCACCTGATCAATGACAAGCTACTGCTGAGCATCATTATTTTACTGTTGTAGGTCCGCAAGTATAAGATTGAACAATGCTTTTAATGGTATCATGATAAGATTCCTTGAGCTTTTCCCAGAATTAGATCTCGATAATTGTTACAAAGCATATAAACTTTTCACATTTGTGAGTTAATGAGCATCATATCCTCTGAAGCACGGATTCGCCTCCGGAGGCCACGAATCTGTGTCCGACTCGAATCAGACACGGATTCGTCACGACACGGTCGGACCGTGTCGTACACGGTCAAACCGTGTCCGACACCGGTCAACGGTCAAATTAGGCTCAAACACGGTCAAAGGAGCTCGAACACGGCTCGGATTCGCCGAAGGCCGATTCATTCGGGTTGCGGGTTTGGTTGTTAAAATCCAACCCGAACCGTTCGATTAAAAAACTCATCCTTATTTCTCAAATCTCCTATTCGATTCGATCCTCAGCTGACTCAAACGAAAGAAAATAAGAAAAAACACTAACCCTAACCCTAATCCTCTCTCTCAATCTCTCAGCATCCACTTCATCTTGAGGTACTTTTTATTTACAAACTTGTTATTTTGTGATAGATTCATATTTTAGATTGTTAGTTGAATTTTATAAAATTTTCTATATATAATAATATTTTTTTAAATCCTTTGCCGTATCCCCGTATCCTATTTTTTTAGATTTTACCGTATCCCGTATCTGTGTCCGTGTCGTGTGTCCGTGTCGTGTCCGTGTCCCGTATTCATATCGTGCATCATAGCTCAGAAGTTTAGCTCGTAACTTTTCAAGTTAGGGAGTATAAGGAAGTCATGATTTTTTTATTTTTTGGTCATGTTCTTTGGCTAGTTTTAATTCTTTTGGTTCTGTTACTTTACTGATATATGCTCTTCCACCACAAGCATTATTGAAATTTTTTGCATAGATGGAAGGGATAATTGTTCCATATATACTCTTATCAATAGTAAGAAAATGATATGCTTTATCTGTTTTCTCATGGATTATGTCTTGATATATGAACAAACTTTTGTAAAGTTCCTTCTAGACTTGTGGAAATCTATAGTCTGCTCCTTTTTACAAATTACATCCTAGTAAGGTTGTTTTCAGTGTTAGAGACTGTTGGGGGTTTTCTCCTTTGGTTGTGTCGTCCTTGAATTGCATGTATACTAGAGAAACATATTGTGTCAATTGATTTTCTGAGCCTATATATGAATCGTATCAGATATGCGAATCATGTATTTTTTAGAAATTAGAAACTTTACTTGTTTCAGTGTGTTCTGTAAACTAATAGGTTTTGAGTCTTAATTTATCATGCATGTGAATGTGAGAAGTACTGATTTTGCCAATCCGTAAGGAGCTATCTAAAAGTGTGTTGGAATGATTTCCTTTTTTTTGGTTACAGATTACATTACTTGAACAAATTCAAAACAGCAAATAGCCAATGCAACTAAAGCAAACTTTCTTCCTCCTTTTTATCCTCTGATAAGACTTTTTGTAAAAAATCTGGAGGGTCTTCAAATCATAATTGGAAGCTTTCGAGATACATAGCATTCCTTACTAAGATACATGCAGCACCATTTCTAGTAAGACCAACAGCTCGAACATCCCAAAAATCCAATGAGTTACACGTCCTTCGCATGTCCTCGTTTCCCCAATTTTAGAAACCTAAAACAGTAATTAGAGTTGTGTCTTTACTCAGGAAAATTATATGGCAAACAAAAAGATGGACTCCATAAAGGAGAATGTCTCAACATATCTCGAACAACAACATCAAAGTTCCAAATTTTGGGGCTCAACTATATGAATCATATTCCTGCATCCAGTTTTGTGGCCAGGAAAGCTGTATGAAGAATGTGAAAATCGACAAGAATCTTATTTTCATCCAAGTGTTACATATTCTTCTACAATTAAACAATTTTTTTGTTAGAGATGGAGGTATGACTATATTTAGTGATTTAACCTGAAAGATGCAGGTTTCTTTTCCATGACATTTGGAAGTTCGTAACTAGCATATTATTTTCTTTAGATTGTAGACAAAGTTGCCTATCTTAATGCTAAGCCCTAGTTAAAAAATAAATAAATAAAGGAAAGGAAAGGAAAGAAAAGAAAGAGAAGCCTTCTTCCTTTCAGTTGATGAAACTGCTGATCTCTCCAGACAGCATATTATTTTTAGGTTTCCCCTTTTTACATCGACCAACCATATTTCATAGCATAATCTAATTAACTATCGATTTGCTCAAAATGTTTAGATTTATTTCAAAACATTGACATGTTCATGGTAATCGTCTTTCTTTTTTGTTCGTTTCAAAAGTTTCATCATCTGGATAATTATTTAATAAAGTACTTTTCTTGATATTTGTATTGTTTATTTTGGTGGTGTAGGGATGCTGGGCTCATTATTGGTCTCCCCTTTGCGAACCCTTGAGGGTACTTCATTCTGCTGCTATTCTTCTGTATGTTAATTGTAGTTTCTTTTTCTCATTCTGAATTTCTGTTACTTGTCCTTTTATTTGCTTTCTGTCGTGTGGATGCACACAGAATTTGAAATGGGCAGCATGTGAATAAGTATGCTGAAGCACACGTGTAGAAGTGATCCCTAATCTTAATCTCAGAGCCATAATAGAAAATCACCTTCGTCACAATTTTTTTCAGTTTCCATACTCAACAATGCAATAACTTGACAAGAGAGTTGCTTTGTGGGTTCTATTGGAAAAAAAGGAAGAAAAGAAACCAGCTGCGACAATACTGGAAACTACTTCGGTGTGTATTGCGCACTTAGTTGAACACTACCTTGTAGAAATTAATAACTCTGTTTAAACAGGTTTATTTTTATGATTTTTTCTTATTAGGGAAATTTTGATTTAGGCCCTTGTTGACTCTGATTTAAGGCTACGCCTTCTAACTGGATTACTCCTTGAGTGAACACTAGAGATCAGTTTTTTAATTGGTGTCCCTCTGCCCATTAAAAGACCAATTGTCCACAGAGCCTACGCTAACTTGAATTGAGGGTGTAAACCAAATATATATATTTTTTCCCTTTTTACTGTATAATGTATCAGAACACAGATAAAGAGAAAAGATTATCATCGATCTCTCTGTGTCGAAAAAATTCATAACAGAGAAATATAAACTATAACCATATCTTAAAAAAAATCAAATTATAAGGAGAACATTCAAAGAACGTTATAAATTTGCTGTAAAAGAAGTATTTATTTAAAATGTTAATATTCATAATATAAAAAAGCATTAGCAATTTAAATTCCATTCCTATTACTTTCTTTTGATTACTTTATGGGAAAACAATGAAACAGTATAAATGAGGAGTTATGAATTGTTTACAATTTCTAAATTCTACAAGCTAAAATTGGATATTTATGGGGATGAGTTGACTAAAATTTTTCGTATATGTTTTATATTCAAATTGCAAACAAATAAAATAAAATAAAATAAAAAATTATCTTTATTTGAAAATTTATCCCTGAAATCTAGATATTTGGTAAGTTATCCCCAATCTAGGAAATTAGTTTTTTCCCCCATCTCATTTTACTGCCGTTAAATTACTCAATTGAGGGCTCCAAATGTCAAAAGAAGAAAAAGGAAACTCATGATAGAAGAAAAATGTCAATAGCAGGTGATCACTGGTGATGGCACCCGCCCTTCCCCCATGGAATATCCATCAAGAAAGATCGACCACTCTCAAACCATATCAGCAGCGAACATCAACAACTTCATTGCCTCAGCATTTTCCCCATGCCATCCCTTCATCTCCTCTCTGATCAAGCCCCTTTGTTGTATGCACAAAATAAAAAAATTCTATCACAAAATCGTGACCTTGTTGCATTAGGCATCATCACTCCTCTACTCAAAATCCCATCAATAACATCACTCATAGAGGAAGTCATAATAGTAATGTCATGATCCCCCATCACTACAGCAGAGTCCTTTCGTTATAGTCTTGACTCCAGATTGAATTTGCTCCCCCACTCATTTTGAATTGGGCCTCGATCTGGGATTCTGGTTAGAGAGGCATTGGCGCGACAACAGGAGTTCACAATCTGGGGGGAGGGGTGGTGGGACAGGAATAGGCAAAGCTCTGGTGGGAGAGGCTGGACGGTGGGTTCTAGGCTCTTGGGTTGAGAATCTGGAGAGGTCATTGTCGATTGTGTAAGCATGGGTTCGGAGATTTCGAACTTGCATAGAACGGAAGACATGTCGTAAGAGAGAACTAAAGAGATGTTTACATGAGGATCGGGTCGAAGGAGAATAGGTTTGCGGACAAGGTGAAAGCATGGAGGGTGTAAAGGTTGATAGAGAGGGCGGAAGAGAGCATAAGGATGTGGAGGGAACAGCAAAGAGTGGCGTAGTGGAAGCGTGCAATGCATATCCGGTCTTTGTTTTCTCTTCTCTCGAGTCTGAATCTCATCAAAACCACATGCATGTGAGAAGTTGGTTCTACACCATTCATGGATGGCAGAAGGCTTAATCTAAGAATTTTACTGCCCCCATGAAGGGATCAAAACTACCGGCTCGCATGCTGGTAAGTCTGATGTGATCCCTATTATCTTTTCTCACCCTAAAATTAATTAGAAATGATTTTAATTAGGGGCACAATAATCTTTTTAAAGAAAAATTTTGAATTTATAGCAGATCATGTTGGAAAATACCATGTATATTCTTCTATTTGAGGAGTATTTTTTTATTCAATGTGAGGGATTTTAGTGGTAAATTAGCAAATTAGGTTGGTATAATTTTGAAAAAAAAGGATGATTCCGGGGTATATATGAAAAAAAACCCTAGACATTGTTAATCTATCTGTGATTTATTATTCCTTTTTGTTGTAATCTCTTTTTGACTCCTAGGAACTGATAACTATGATTATCAGTAACAACTAAACCCATCTTATTTTCTTCTAGAAGAAAACGGATGGCTTGTAATGATTTATCATTTATGTATAATTATCAGTTGACACATCATGTATTTAATGATTATCTGCAATAAGGTTTCATTCTAAATGTTGTTGTGAACGACACACAATTCCCATATTCTATGGCTTAGTAGCATGTAATATCCAATACGCGCAAAGTTTTTCCTAAAGTACTAGTGCTGTTTATGTCTCATATTTTTCTTGCTCAACTTAATGTGTCTTCCTCTTCCAGACAGATATTTCGACATTAACACTGAGAATGTCACCCTTGACAAACTGTTCATCCCTCATTTCAAGGGAAAGGTCTCGCAAGTTAATCTCCTCATCAAGAAAATGGAAACTGCATTCAGTTGATCAACCCCAGGTCGTTCATTTAGAAGATAACGAGAAATTATGGACACAATGCAAAGTTTTACTTTCGTCACTTAATTTCACCAACGAGGAGGCAGATAAGATGCTCAAGAAAGCTTTCGGGTGGGCCCATTCTCCGTACTGGGGCGAAGAAAGGAAGAAAGAAGTTCCCAATAAACATTCAATAAAGGAGATGTTAGATTATCTAAAGAGTTTGACCCTTTCGGATGATGACCTCCACAAATTACTGAAAAAGTTCCCTGAGGTTCTTGGATGTGACATTGATCAAGAAGTGAAGAGCAATGTGAGTACTCTGGAGAAGGATTGGGGAATCAAAGGGAAACAACTGCGTAATCTTTTACTACGGAATCCTAAAGTTCTTGGGTATAATGTGGATTGCAAAGGAGATTGTATGGCTCAATGTACACGCTGTTGGGTTCGGTTTTAGTGCCATCTGTTTGCTACCTGTACATTGGATCTTCTTTCTTTGCCTATGTCTTGATAAAAATAATTGTTCCTAGTTTTAAGAATTATTAGTTGTACAAAATTGAAATTACTGGTACTTGTTGTAACTTGCTAGTCCATATTGTTCCTAGTTTTAAGAATTGTTCGTACTGGTTGTAACTTGCTATGTCTCGATAAAAATAATTGTTCCTAGTTTTAAGAATTATTAGTTGTACAAAATTGAAATTACTGGTACTTGTTGTAACTTGCTAGTCCTTATTGAAAACAGTGATGATTGTCTCAGAATTAGCTTCATGAGATTATTCACAGTACGCAAAAATATTATTGTGATGTTTATGACAAAAAGTTAATGGTATAGGTTAATGGATATTTGGAGGAGTTTTGGGACCCTGAATCCTTTCTGATGGCAGATCCTTGCACAGACAACACCCGTTAGATGGCCGGAGATGATACCTCCATCGTGCTCTTGAATGTTCAAGTCAGTGACAGATTAAGCAGGTTTGTAGAATGCAAAATCTAGTTTTAGGGCGTTATTTAGCATACCTCGGTATAATGGGGATTGTCCACTATTTATAGAGAATTTGTAGGGGCATGTTGGTAATTTTACCATATCGGTGCAGTTGATAGATCAGATTGTAATTTACACGTGTCCGCAGTTGGTTGAATGAGTCACCTTTGCGTTTAATGCATTAGTGAAAAAAGGCAGAAGCGTTGGCGTCGTCCAAGGAGTCATTATGACTTCGACTTAAGAAGTCATAATGACTCTGATCATGCATTAAATGTGATGACGACTGGGCGACGAAGTATGGGTGCCGACTATCCATGCGTTAAATGAGAATGACATTGGTGAAGTTAATAGGTCATGTTGTTGTTCGAGACATTCCCTAGTGAAAGTCCAAACAGAAGACGGCTTTCGTCTCAGACTTAGATTCCTAGAGAGATCCTGACTTGAAGACGTCTTTCGTCTTGGAACTCAAATTGCTAGAGAGATCGGCCGTACTCACACCTGAGCTGGGATTTCATATTGTAGGACTTGGCTAGTTAATCATGATACGTGACCAACTCTCAAGAGCTTATTAGACTTCATAATTATCGGGATATAACAGGTGACATTCATAATTGGCTTAATGATCAAGGCAATATTCAACATGTGATGCGAAATAAAATCCTTCAACATAGATAACATTTTCTTTGTGTGTAAATCCCATAATTATAATTACCATGATCTTTCCTTTTCATAGCTATTTAGAACAGGAAATACAATTCATGATTGTTGTTGATACTCGTGATTGATGGAAATCACTTTTGGTAGATTTTATTTCAAATTTATATTTAAATAAAGTAAATGAATGAGAATACCTCAAGGTGTTCATACTATTATTATTTCACCTTGATTAAGATCTGCAGTTGCCTTGATCTTCTTGCCTACTGTAAAATATTACCATAAATGAATTTGGATCCTCTACCTATATAAATAACATGTGCACAAACGGACTAGTCAATAAGAAAGACCCCTCTCTTCTTTTCATTTCTCTTTCCTTGATACATATTCAGTGGCAAAGACTAAGAGGGTGTTTGGGGCGGCTTATCTTTTTATTTCTACCTGTTTGATAAAATATAATATAAGTTAGCTTATAACTATAAGTCACATTTTAAAAAAGTTGGTATATCTCAACTTTTGAAAAACTAACTTTTAAGCTCACCTAAATAAACTAGATTTGACCAAACAAATTACTACAATACCCAAATAATTTTTATAATATTTTTATCATAAAAGATAAAAGCCACTAAAAGGTAGCATAACTTGTAAGATTCAAAAAATAAGTCTTCCCAAACACCCTCCAAGTCGTATTTGCAGATCTACTTGTGCTCCTTTTGTTCAATGTAAGTCCCTATTCACATAAGGATATTTGTTTCCTATGTTTAATTAAAGTAATTATATATATGAAAAATTAACACACAAATTTTAGGTAAATATACAGAAACTGACCCAAGCAAAAGCATTATTTTTAATTCTTCCAACTCCAACTTTTTAAAGAAAAATTAACACACAAATTTTATGTATCCATAAACAAACTGACCAGAGCCAAAGCATTATTATTATTTACTGATTTTGCCATGTCATGATGAAATACTCTCTTAAAACCCTT